AATGTCGGCCTGCAGACTGGAGAGTCCAGGGTTTGGTTCCTGCTAAGGGCACGTGCCTCAGTTGCAGTTTGCCCTCGGTCCCAGTTGGGATTGTGTGGGTGACAACCACTCAATGTGTCTCTCTCGCATCGATGTTTCCCCCCCCCCCCCCCGCTCTATCTTAAGATAAATGCAAAAAATGTCCTCAGGTGAGGATAAAAAATAAATAATAATAAAGTACTGATCCCTTATCTGCAGGGTATACGTCCTATAATCCCCAAAATTTCAGGTAGTACTGAACCCTATAAATACTATGTTTTTTCCTATACATGCCTACCTATAATAAATTTTAATTTATAAATTAGGGACAATGAGAGGTTAACAATTAGTAATGGAATAGAATAATTATAAAAATGTACTGTAATAAAAGTTTATGTGAATAGAATAATTATAAAAATGTACTGTAATAAAAGTTTATGTGAATGTGATCACTCTTTTCAGAGGACCACTTGCTGAAGTCTTTGAATAGGCTCAGTGCTTTCTGACATAACACGTTGTCATCAATCAGAACAGGTTTTCTGTTCATGTCTTCACCCACAAATGTAATTAATGCCTTTTCCATCTTATTAAGCACTTACTAGGCACTGTGTCCGTAACTTTTGCGGTTTGAGGTATGAAAGCAAAATGAGCATGGATTTCTTTTTTTTCTTCTTCACACTTTTCACACATAGAAGATACATTCTTACTGTAGATCTTAGCAACCTCACCAAACAATTTTCTTTCCTTATTAAATCGAGACCTATTACCTTTTCACTTAAAGGAAGCACTTTATGGTTTCTCTTTGGCATATCTGAATTGCCAGCATCACTACTCTTGTACTTTGGGGCCATTATTAAATAAAACAGTTTTACTTGAACACAAGTACTGCAATACTGCCACAGTGAATCTGATAACTGAAAAGGCTAAGTGACTGGAAACGTATACAGTCATCCCTTGTTTATTGCAGTTAATTCGTTCCAGACTCTAGCAGTTGCACCTGGCGTTAAAGGATTCCTGGGGTGCTCGAATACATAGGCCTATAGTCCATATGTACATTAATTTTAATTTTAATTGTAATACAGGGGTGTATAATTAACTCAGACAACCGAGCATGCACTGTATCATTTTCACTATCTTGATCAACTTTTAAATGAATATATTTGAAAAAACTGTGATAGAGTGAAGCTGTGAAAGTTGAAGTGCGAAGTGTATATCGTGGATGTGCTGGACAAAAGGATGATTCACATCCTGGTTGGGATGGAGTGGAGACATCATGAGATTTCATCAAACTACTCAGAATGTCATGCAATTTAAAACTTATGAATTGTTTGTTGAATTGTTTATTTCTGTAATTTTCCATTTAATATTTAGTATTTTTGGATGGTAGTTGACCGCAGGTGACTGAAAACTGAGAAAGGCATAACTGAGAGTAAGGAGGACTATACAACAGGTTGTGCTTTAGCTAATCCTGATCCATGCATTGTAATCAAAAGTATGTTCTCTTGATGCTTCTTCATCAGAGTTTTTTCTTCTCTAGTGTTAGAGCAGTGATTATGAATCCTGTTTGATTTTTACTTATACCCAAAGTGATTTCTAGTAATATATTTATAACAGAACAGTAATTGTCTGAAATTAATTTTGTATAATTTTATTGTATAACACGTTAAGACAGTATTTAAAACAAAAATCACTATAATTTTCTAGTTTTTACTCGAGTACAAAACTTTTATAGTTATAAATATATATATAAGTTGAATGTTGTAGTTACTATTTTATTTATTTATTTTTTTACCCTCACCCGAGGACATTTTTCCATTTTTTTGTACAGATAGAGTGGGAGGGAGAGAGAGGAAGAGAGAGAGAAACATCGATGTGAAAGGGACACATCGAGTGGCTGCCACCCGCACAACCAACCAGGGCTGGGGACAAACTGCAACCAAGGTACATGCCCTTGGCGGGAACCGAACCCGGGTCTCTCTAGACCGCAGGCCGACGCTCCAACCGCTGAGCCAAACCGGCCAGGGCGTAGTTTTACTATTTTAAACATATAGCTATTTAGCTCTCATCATGATTATTTTTGAATTCATAATATCCCACTGAAGTGATTTCATATATAAACCATTTTTAATTTATTAAATATTTACATTGGCTACAATTTTTTAAGTTTTTATAAAATGGAAATGATCACTTTTTTTCCAAATAACAGATAGCCTATAGTTATCTTTTCCATTTGAAAAATCTTGATATTAATAGTAATGCCTGGCAAAATTAGTTCTGCTTATAAAACATTTTCAAATTATATATGTTAAAATTACGTGCCAACTTCATATTGGAAAGTAAATTTACTGATTAAATGAAAACCTTGTGATTTCCAATGCCATTGAAGAATCTTTGCTAAACTGTAGTAGCTATTATTTACAAATTTCCTTTTCTTAAAGGGATTTTAAAAACTGACTTCTTATTTCTACTTTTAGAAATTCATTCTTTTCACTTTGAAAAGTACCTGAAAACATACTTTTAAATAGAACATGAGCACCGTGAGCATAGGGAATTTTTATTATTTTGTTTAGTGCTATATCTCTAGGTCCTAGAACAGTACCTAACACATAGTGACTCCTCAGTTAAAATTGACTGAAAGAATTTTCAAGGATGTTTATTATAGTACTATTTGATATATGAAAATACTAATTGGAAACACCCTAAATGTTCATTAATAAGGGATTGATTGATTAAAGTATAAAATAGCCATACAATGGAATATCATTTCATTAGAAAAACTTGGGGTTGTGTCATCTGTACTGACATCGATATAATAACTCATTTTGTGAAAAAAAAGCAAGTGAAAAACAGTATATAATGATACCACTTTTAGTTTTTTAAATTGTTTTATCCTCACCTGAGGACATTTTTGCGTTTATCTTTAGAAAGAGTGGGAGGGAGAGAGGGAGCAAGAGAAAGAGAGAGAAATATCGACATGGGAGAGACACATCGACTGATTGCCACCCGCATGACCCCAACTGGGGCTGGGGACAAACCGTAACCGAGGTACATGCCCTTAGTGGGAACCGAACCCAGGCCTCTCTGCACGGACCGACACTCTAACCGCTGAGCCAAACCGGCCAGAGCACCACTTTTAGTTTTAATAATTTGATTTAAAAATATACAATCCACCTATGTACAACAGTTTTTAAACTCTTTGGTTTCAGGATCTTTCTGTATTTCTAAAATTACTGAGGGCCCTGAATGATTTTTGTTTGTGGAATATATATATGTATGTATTTATTTATATCTAGATACATAATTACTATATTAGAAATTAAAAATGTCAATTTATGTATTTGTTTAAAATAAGGATAATGAACTATTACATGTTAACATAATGTATTTTTATGAAAAATACCTATATTTTTCCAAAATAAAAATTTAGTGAGAAGTGACATGCATTATTTTACATTTTTTGCAAATCTCTTTACTGTACAGCTTAATAAAAGGCAACTGGTTTCTCATAGCTGTTTCTGCATTCAGTCTGTTGTGTTGTGTTTTGGTTGAAGTACATCAAGGAAATTTAGTCTTACAAAGATATATAGTCACAACAGAGAAAAGTATTTTAATACCCAGGTAATTGTAGATATTCTTTTGTTGTTGTTGTTGTTAATCCTCACCTGAGGATATTTTTCCATTGATTTTTACATAGAATGGAAGGGGCTGGGAGGAGAGAAACATCACTGTGAGAGAGACACATGGATTGGTTGCCCTCTCACATGATCCCAGTGGGAACCGGGTCTGGGGATTGAACCTGCTACCCAGCTACATGCCCTTGACTGGGAATCAAGCCCACTTCCCTTCGTCCACAGGCCAACGCTCTAACTGCTGAGCCAAACCAGCCAGGGCGAATTATAGATATTCTTTGATACTATATTAAAACTCTACAAGTAGTAATTTCTTAAAGTTTAGTTGCAATGTGGAATTTGAAACCATATCTAAACTTTTTCATACTCAGTCTTTAAAGTCCATTGGTCTACTTTGTACTACAATGGATTTTTTTACCTGTGCAAAATTTTGTAACTCATGTACCGGTAATTTGGAAAATATGGGCTTACTGGTTATGTAGATCTTCCAAATGTTGACAATTTTATTATGTCATACCTAAAAGTCATATTTGTTAATATCACACCAGTCTCATTGCCAGGGGTTTCAAGTATTGTGAAGCTGAAGCTGTCAAGCTCATAGTTACAGATACAAGTTTTACAAATTTCTACTTATCACTTGAAAGCTTGAATTTTATCATTAGTAATATATGGTCACTTGTTTTTCTTGACTTGGCAGGCTTACTCTATTCACTTGTTGAGAAAATGTCTGTGAAATAGCCAAGTCTGAATATTTTTTCATTTGTTCATCTAAAAATAGTGTTCCTTTTTTTAAAAAGTGGCTAACTTACTTTTTATTTTTATTTTTTTTATCCTCACCTGAGAACATTTTTCCATTTTTTGTTCAGATAGAGTGGGAGGGAGAGAGAGAGAGAAACATCAACATGAAAGGGACACATTGAGTGGTTGCCACTCACACAGCCCAACCAGGGCCGGGGACAAACTGCAACCGAGGTACGTGCCCTCAGCGGGAACCAAACCCGCGTCTCTCTGGACCGCAGGCTGACGCTCTAACCACTGAGCCAAACTGGCCAGGGCCTAACTTACTTTTTAGATGATAATTAAAGAAACAAGTTATTAAACAAATATCTATAAATGAAAAAAAACAAAACAAAAAGAACATAGCAAAATATTAACCGTGGTTATCTTAGGGTCAGTGGGGAAATGGTAATTTTTTTTTTTTTTACTTTTCTGAAATGAATAATACATTTCTGTTATGCTGTATAGTTTAAAGTGTTATATAAAGTAAATTATTTATAAGACAGCTTACACATAGAGGGAGATGAATGTGAATTATTAAGAAAAATTAATAATGTTCTCTATTTTTCTTATTAGGATTTAGGTCCTGAATATGAACATATATTTAACATCTCATTACAGTGGATTTTTGAAAATGGAAAAGATGTTGGAATAAGGTAAAGGATTTGATTTCCACTTTGATCATTTTATAGTGTAAGAAGTGATTTTGCCTCTAAATTCTCCCTTAATTATGTTTAAATAGGTGTGTCGGTTATGGCCCTGATGAACAATTAACAAATATAACTGATGTGCAGTTTTTACAATCCACAAGACCACAGATGTCTTTTTGGTGTCGTTTTCGACGTGCTTTTGTTACTGTCACCCACAGGTTATTGTTGTTATGCTTAGGTAAGTTGTTAGGATGGCAAAGAAGGTGTATTGTATTCTAGAATTTTTGTGTCTGTATTTTACCACATGCTAGAGTTGAGAATTTATTTCTGTGATAGTTGCCATTATAAATCACATCCAAAAGTCTTTGCTAAACTATAATAATTGAGGTTTTTATATATCAATAATGTCAGCATCAGTTTAGAAAACAATACTTATGAGGGGAAGTGGGAATAAAACTTTGTCATACAAACATCAAAGAAAAAGCAGGTATAGTGAATAGATGGAAATGTACTTTAAAATAGAACAGGAAAATATAAAAATTAAGCTTAGTTTCTAAATAAACGATTATAAATTAAGTTTATTAAAACTTTTAAATTTTATTTATTTTTAAATTTTAAGTTTTGGTTGTTTTTTTTTTCCCTTACCTGAGGACATTTTTTTTTGCATTCATCTTCAGATAGAGCGAGAGGGAGAGAGGGAGGAAGAGAGAGAGAGAAACATTGATGTGAGAGAGACACATCGACTGGCTGCTACCCACACGATCCCAACTGGGGCCGGGGACAAACCGCAACCAAGATACGTGCCCTTAGCGGGAACTAATAAACCCAGGTCTCTCTGGACCGCAAGCCAATGCTCTAACCGCTGAGCCAAACCAGCCAGGGCACTATTTTTTTTTTTTTAATCCTCACCCGAGGACATTTTTCCATTTTTTTGTACAGATAGAGTGGGAGGGAGAGAGAGGAAGAGACAGAGAGAGAGAAACATCGATGTGAAAGGGACACATCGAGTGGCTGCCACCGCACGACCAACCAGGGCCGGGGACAAACTGCAACCGAAGTACGTGCCCTTAGCGGGAACCGAACCTGGGTCTCTCCGGACCGCAGGCCAATGCTCTAACCGCTGAGCCAAACCGGCCAGGGCAGGGCACTATTTTTAATATTAAAATATTACTTACCTGAGTTAAAATTTTTATTTAGATTCCTAGATTTTGTGTGACTATTTAGCTTGATAATAAGAATTTAGGAGATTTGTTTTTTATGTCCAAGTTATTTAAAAATAATTTAATTTACCTAAAAAGTAAGATATAGTATGTTTAGTCTCTGTAGACTCACTTTTCTAGTAGTTTAAACATGCAAAGGAAAAAGTATGTGAAACATAGCTATGTTATTTTGTTTTAAAAAAAATTCATAGTTAGAATTGAAATATTACTGCCATTATCGACAAATTGGAAAAAAAGGTTCAGTTGTCAACGTAATGGAAGAAGTGAGATTAAGTTAAACTCTGGATTATGTTTAATATTAAATTTTTCTATGTAGTTTTAATTATGTAGCTAATTCAACACACTATTTTGAAGGCTCATTTCATTATCCCATTATGGCGGTTAAAATAATCACTGTAGAAACTATCATAAGTTTTCTTTTTTAAATGTTTGCAATAAATGTTGTTGAATGCCATCGAACACAAATTTTTAAAACACAAAATATATTAATATTGTAGGTGTAGTGATGGTTTGTGTTGTTCTGCGTTACATGAAATATCGCTGGACTAAAGAGGAAGAGGAAACCAGACAGATGTATGATATGGTGGTAAAGATTATAGGTATAGTATTTTTAAAAATCTAAACTATTTCTAGAATAGTCACTATGTGCCAAACTATAACATGATAACCAGTGATTGATTCATTGGTAAATGTATTTGATTTATTTTCAGATGTTTTACGAAGTCATAATGAAGCTTGCCAGGAAAACAAAGATTTACAACCTTTCATGCCTATTCCACATGTTCGAGATTCCTTAATACAGCCTCATGACAGGTGTGTTCAAAGCATTATGAATTGGAGTAAATAAGAATGTTGGTGTTTTCTATAGTTGTGAAAATTATATTGAGAATTGTGACCCTTCTCACCTGTTTTACTGTACAGGCTTTATTTTTGTACTTGAAACTCTTCTTTCTTTCTAATTCTCTCCTGTTACCTTCCTGATTTTGAGTGGCAAAATAGACAACTGGATTTCTAAATCATTCTCATTCTAACACATTTGTTTCTTTGTTGCCATCTCTACCTTATTTCCTTTACTTTCATCTTGAAAAGAAACAGACAGTAGCTAGTAATATTTTATTAGTACGGTTTTAAAATGATTTATTTTGTTAAAAAAGCTTTTGAAGTCAAAGAACTAATAGCTTGAAAATGAAAGATGATGCCATGTGCTAAAGCAGTACTCTTAATCCTAGTAACACAACAGAGACCAGTGGAAGTTTTAGGAAGGAAAAAAATACTGATGCTTAACACTTCACCTCGAAAGATTGAAATTCAGTAAATCTGAGGTGAGGTTCAGGCATCTAAATCTTTTTTTAAAAAACTTCGTAAGCATTGATAAGAACAGCCAGAGTTAATAATTACCACTCTTGAATTACTAATATTTGAAAAAGATGGCAAGCCAATATGATAGTCATTTTGTTCACATAATAGGAAAAAAATGAAGAAAGTCTGGGATAGAGCTGTTGACTTCCTTGCTGCTAACGAGTCTAGAGTTCGCACAGAAACACGAAGAATAGGTGGTGCGGATTTTCTAGTTTGGCGGTGGATCCAGCCTTCTGCATCCTGTGACAAAATATTAGTAATACCTTCTAAAGTATGGCAAGGTCAAGGTATGTATTTTTAAACAATAAAAAATATAAGCATAAATTTTTTCTATTTTTCAATTACAAAAGTCTTATGTTTACAATAGCACAATTGAACAAGGTATGAAAGCAAAGCTCCCCTTCCAGTTTCATCCCATAGAAGGAATTAGTGTTAGCTTCTTACATATCCTTCCACTTTTCTCCTGGCTGATAAAAACTTAAATGATTTATCTTTACTGTAATAGAATTCTGTGTTATGTTACTTTGATTTTTTTTCCTTTTTCACTTAACAAAAAGCAACTTCGTTATTAAGATTTAATTGCATTCTTTTCCTCTTAATTTTTTATGCAGATAAGACATAATTTATGTTTTATATATGTATATGTTTTATGTATATATGACAGCATATAGTATATATACTATATATATAGATTCAATAATATATATAATTAAAACATAATAAATGGAATCATAAGTTTTTAGCTGCTTTTTTTCCCCAGTTTTAGCTTGTGTCCCTCTTTTCCCTTCTACCTGTATATCCCGCCACCCCCTGCCCCGTGCCAGATAGCTTTTGTGGGCATCTTCCTTCCCTCCCCCCCCTCCCTCCCTCCCTCCCTCTCACCATTGCATAGTTGCAAAGACATGTGTATGTAAGTATACAGGAGGGTTTGGTGATTGGTTGCCTTATGTAACCAAACTTCTACTAGTGATAACTGTTACCTCACTTGAATTTTTTGTATCCTAATGGTTAGTGGAAAAATGAAATCTCATGATTAGTTTAATTTGCATTTCAGGACTAGTAGTGAGTTGAGTTTCTTTTAATCTTATTTATCAATGTTTGCAAAGTATAGCATTTATGGGAAAGGTCAGTAGATTATTTTGAAATTACAATAAAATTCAGTCTCTCCCTTTTTTCCTAATGTTCACTGTTAAAGAGCTTGAATAATATCTGGATACAATCATGGCATAAATATGAAGCTTTGATGTTGCCAAAGATGATACTAAACAATAAATGATTTGCTTCAAAGAGTGCATGCAGAAAGTCCCTTTGACACTGGAAACAGAATTCAAAGCCAGTCAGATCTGATTACCTTAATGTCTGGTTATAATGGGTGTGGTGTCATAGCCTGATTTCTTCATAGAGCTAGCAATTCGTATTCTTGTATGCATTTGAAGTTCTAGAAGAGGCATTATTTTGTTCATAGGGATTTTTTAATAATTATAATTTGTCTTATTTTTAAAATGTGAGATTTTCAAGATGAATCTAAAGAATTTCTTAACAGAATAATAATCCACATTGTGTTACGTATTAGTAGTGGTATGATTTACTTTAAGTGTGTTAAATTGAAGACTCTAGTCTGGCCAGTGAGGCTTAGTTGGTTGAGTGTCATCCCATGCACCAGGAGGTCATGGTTTGATTCCCGGTCAGAGCACATGCCTGGGATTGTGGGCTCGATCCCTAGTAAGGGGTGTGCAGGAGGCAGCTGATCAAAGAAAATACATAAAATAAGTTTTGCTTTCATGTAAATATATTTGAACATAAATGTTATGCTGTATAAATCTGGCTGTATTCCGAGGGATCTTGGTAGTTTATGTAAAAAGATAGTTTAACTTATTAACAAGCTTAATGTTTCTTCCCTTATAAATGCTGTGATTTAATTCAAAAGACACATGACTGGAGGGTTGGTAATTATAGTAGTCTTATGAATTCATTATGACTATAAGCTGTTGTTATTCAGTATTATTTTCCTCAAGTTAATTGTTAAGTAATTGACCTTATTGACTTTTTAGTTCAATTTATAAAAGATAGTTATATATAAATTGGATGATTTTATATAATATTTGTATCTTTAAAGGTATTTTAAAGCACCAGTTAAAAATTAAACAATACCTGCTGGGGAGCATGAGAACTATTTATGCTTTGACAGATATAGTGTTTGGAATAAACAGCATTTATTTGAAGGATCCAAAGGTAGTTCCTGAGGTATTTAAAATGTATTGTTCAGTAACTACTGTATCTCTATTTGGCCCAGGAGGCAATTACAATTTAGTTAGGGAGACAAAGCATATATATATTTTTAAATCAATTTGATCTTTAGGACTACTTTCTGACTAGAAGTGAGCAGAATAATTTCTCCTAGCTCTGTTATTTTGTGGAAACTTGTGTCTAAGCTAGCACAAGGTAGTATGAGTTTTTTTCTTCTGGTTCATCCTCTGTTGGCCCAGGCCAGTATTGGAGTTTCAAGAAAGTCAGATTGCCTTCAGCTAAAAGATCATCTAAGAACTGAACCCATACACTGTTAGAGAAGTTTGGAAGGTACTAGAGGTTCACAGACTTTCTTGATCTGGGGTTTGGCAAAGATTTTTTCATATCCAGTGACCATTCCTCCTCCTTATGTCAGGCACTATTCAAGGACATCACACTCCAGATATTTCTTATCAGTAGATACTTTAAAAATCTTTAATTGATACACTCTGATCTTTCGCCGTAAACTCATCCTTTCAACTTTCCTGCTTTATATATTTGAATTTTTAAAAAACTCCACAGAATCTTGATTCTTCAATGTACCAGTTTTCTCCAGTTCTTCTTCCTTCCTCTTATCTTTACTTCTTTTCCTATCCATTTTAGTTCCCATTATTTATCTTTCTAATCACTCTTGCTAATACTCTTTAAGTCATTACCCATCCTTCCACTCACCCTGGTAAATTTCAACCAAGGATGAAACTTACTTCTGCTTGTCTGTGTGCAAGTAGCTGAGCAGGCAGGAGAAACTCGTACAACTTGGCTAACTAGTACCCTCATAAATGGTCAACTTCAGTTAAGCCCTCAGCACTACCAGACTTATCTTTCCATATTTTACTAGTCACTTTACTTTCCTACTCAGTAACAATTTTAGATTTCTTCTCCTTTTTAAACCTTTGCCCTTCTTTTCTCTCTCTTAATTCTCAGTTGATGACTTAAGTAGAAGCAGGGAGATTGTATGTACCTCAAATTTCCACCACCAAATCCATAAAATTACCAGAATCCACACTCATCCACAATCATTCTCATTTTCTATTGTGATTGAGGAGCTGTCTCATTTAACAGAGACCTGAGCCCTTCCCTTTAGTCTTCTCAAGTATTTTTCCTTACTGTTTTACATTCCTGCATCTACTGGACCTTTTTATCAGCACTTAAACATGCTGTAGTCTCTCTCATCTTTAAGACAGTGTTGAACTCACCCTGACCAGTTTTGTTCAGTGGTTAGAGCATCAGTTTGCAGACCAAAGAGTTGCGGATTTGTTTCTGGTCAAAGGCACCTACCTTGGTTGTGGTTTGATCCCCAGCCCTGGTTGGGGTTGTGCGGAGGCAACCAATCAATGTGTCTCTCTCACATCGATGTTTCTCCCCTCCTCTCTCTCTCCCACTGAAAATCTGAACATCTGAAAATCAATGGAAAAATATCCTCGGGTGAGGATTTTTGAAAAACAAAATAAAAATAAATAAATAAATAAAACAATGTTGGCACTGTATTGTCTGGTAGCTATTACCCTGTCTGTCTACCTCTTTACAGCCAGATAGCATTAAACAGTTTACTCAGTCTTTACTATTTCACCTCTCAGTTATTCTTCAGCTCACTTCATTCTGTCTTCCATCTCCATCATTCTACAGAAACAGCTCTTAAATTTCCATATAGGGAAATCCAATGGATTTTTTTTTTCCTATCCTTATTTTACTTAGAACTGTTAAATATCGAGCCTGCCTAGAAACTTCCTGCTTTTGACTTTGGGGATGCCACTTTCTTCTGGTTTCCTTGTACCTCTGACCATTTCTTCAGTCTCCTTTTCTTGGACCTCTAGGCGTTAAGTTACTCAAGGCCACCTTCTTTTCTCATTCCATCTGTCTCCCTAGATCAGTGGTTCTCAACCTGTGGGTCACAACCCCTTTGGGGGTCGAATGCCCCTTTCTCAGGGGTCGCCTAAGACCATTGGAAAACACATATTTCCGAAGTTCTTGGGAACCTAGACACCGCTCCTCTATCCTCCTCCAGGCGGTTCTGCCCACATGCAGATACGCCCACATACAACCTGAACTGTATTAGGAAGGTTGAGAACACTGCACTAGATGATCTCATGTTGTGACTTCATTTACCATATATATATGTTGATAACTCCCAAATTTATATCTTGAACTAAGTCTTCTGTTTCAGTTTTCAGATTCTTATACGCAGCTATATACTTCTCTACTAGGAGATGGGCATCACAAATTCATGAACTCAGCATCTTCTCTCCCCAAACTGACCAGGTTTCCTGTCTGATTAATGATATCTCTCTTTAGTTGGTTCTGCCATTAATCTGGATATCATCCATAATCACTCTATTACCCTCCTCCATCTGCAGTCTTTTTTTCCCCTCTATTGATTTTAGAGCGAGAAAGATGGAGAAATCAATGAGCGAGAACATCAATTGGCCACCTCCTGCATGCCACCCACTGGGGATTTGGCCCACAACCTGGGTGCATGCCCTGACCGGGAATTGAACCAGCGGCCTCTTGGTGCATGGGTCGATGCTCATCTACTAAGCCACACCGGCCGGATTCCATTTGCAATCTTTAAATGAGTCACATCAGATCTGCGCCAAAATATGTTTCAATTCTGTTCACTTATTTTCATATGCATTGCTAGTCTGTCTTATCCACATTACTATCATTTCCCTCTTAGACAGGTATAATAACCTTCCAACTGGTCTCCTTGTGTTCACTTTTGCTTCCACCTAATTCATTCTCCACATGTCTATTTTTTAAAATTTGTAACTTTAAAAGACAGATCTTGTCTTATTCATTCCTCTCCTGAAGATGTTTGAGTGACTTTCTGTTGCACTTATGTTAATGCCTAAATACTTTAATATGACCTATATGATCCTGAACAACCTGACATCTCTCTCTTTAGGTTTATCTTTCTATTGTCCTCACTCTAACCACAGTGGATATCTTTTAGTTACTTGAATAGACCAAGCTCCATCTTGCTTCAGGGGCGGTGTGCAAGCTGTGACCTTTGCTTGAAATGTCCTTTACTCCTGTCTTCACAGTTATGATTTCTTAGGTGACACAATTTTTCATGTCTTCCCCACTAAACTGTAAATTCTCTGAGAGCAATTGACTCCGTCTTATTCACCTTAACTTCCAGGGGTCTGTCTCATAGTAAAAGTACACAGTGAATATTTTTGAATGAATTAAATGATTGAATACCTTTTCAATAAAATGGGATAAATGGCACATAGTAAAACTAATTTGTTTCTTGAAGCATTTCATTTAGATAGAAGAAATTCACCACCAAATAGTTTGACACCGTGTCTCAAGATTCGAAATATGTTTGATCCAGTTATGTAAGTATTATGATCAGGTTTATATGTAGTTTTTATTTGGACTATTTGGCTGAAAAATTAATGATATTATTATAATGCTATGCCTGTAATTGAAAAATATCTCTTCTGAATCTCTAACTACAGAAATGTTATATTTTTCTCTTCTCTTTTGTTATATTCCAAGCAAAGATTTGGCCAAAAGACACAAAAATGTGTAACAATTTGTAAAACTTTTATATATCTTTGTGTTCACTGTGAGTCCCCATAGTAGATAAATGCTTGAGTCAAATTAATGACACACACAATATAGACAGTACTTTTTATTAAATGTTTAGGTCATGGCCCTGGCTGCTATGGCTCAGTGGTAAGACTGTTGCCTGCTGACCAAAGAGTCCCGGGTTCGATTCTGGCCAAAGACACGTACCTCGGTTGTGGTTCGTCCCTAGTCCTGGTGGGGGTTGTGCAGATGACAACCAATTGATGTATCTCACATAGATGTTTCTCTCTCTTTCCCTCCCTCTCTCTTCCTCCCTCTCTTCCTCCAGCTCTATCTGAAGATTAATGTAAAAATGTCCTCGGGTGAGGATTAAAAATAAATAAAACAAACATTTAGGTCATGTTTGCCAACATTCTTATCACAATAGGCAATAGAGATTTAAAAAATATCTACTATTTTAGCCCTGGCCAGTTTGGCTCAGTGGTTAGAATGTCAGCCTGAGGACCAAAGGGTCTCGGGTTCAATTCCTGGTCAAGGGCACATACCTAGGTTGTGGGTTTGATCCCCCGCCCTGGTCAGGGTTGTGTGGGAGGCATCCAATTGATGTGTCTCTCTCACATCGATGTTGTTCTCTCTCTCCCTCACTCCCTCCACTGTCTCTAAAAAATCATTGGAAAAAGATCCTCAGGTGAGTATTAACAACAATAACAACAAAAATCTACTATGGTAAAAATTTCTAATCTTATGGTAAAAATTCTCTACAAAGATGTTACATACCTTCCCTTCTACAACCCTGTTTATCCATGTAATACTTGAAAAACTTTTCTGTCCATTTAATAGTTGAGACACTTTTCTGTCTATATAGTCACAGCAGCACATATATCCAGAGAATAGTCTAAAGTTAATTGCTTTAGAATCCGTAGTATTTCACATAGAAGCTATAATAATCTTTAGCATTTGCTTCCTGCAGGCAACCACATACCTGTTCAATGATATGACTTTGTTCTGTTTGTTTTTTCTAATCCTCACACTGGAAATTGTTTACATATAAAATACCCATAAGTTCCATTTAATAACTCATTCATTTCAAGAAATAGAGCCCTGGCCAAGTGGCTCAGTTGGTTGGAGCATTGTCCCATACACCTAAAGGTTGCAGGTTCAGTTCCTGATCAGGGCACACACTCAGATTGCGGGTTCAATCCTTGATCAAGGCACGTACAGGAGGCAACTGATTGATGTTTCTCTCTCTTCCTTCCTCTCTAAAAATCAGTAAAACCATTTCCTTGGGTGAAGATTAAAAAAAAAAAAAAGAAATAGTTGATATGATGAGATTCCTAAGTGAGAGCAAAATTGGAAATGTGGGGAAAACAGCCTCTGTTTTTCAGAGATAGAAACAATTAGCAAACAAACATTTAGGTCATGTTTGGGAATGACCTTCTCTTGGGGATTTTACCTCATACCTTGATGGTGAGGAAATCAATGCCAATCCAGTATTTTATTACCTGAGGTGAAGGATTACTATTTAAAGTATGGCCACCTTCCTCTCTGTCCCACCATCTCTATCTCACAAGCAAGACCTATATGCATTACTGCAGCAGGATATCTTAAAGCTCTCTTAATAGTGGGGTGACTAGTCCAGCTGGTGTGGCTCAGTGGTTGTGCATCAGACCATGCACCAAGAGGTCATCGGTTCGATTTCCGGTCAGGGCACATGCCCAGGTTGTGGGCCAAATCCCAAATGGGGGGGCATGCAGGAGGCAACCAATCAATGTTTTCTCTCATTGATGTTTCCATCTCTCTCTCCTTCTCCCTTCCTCTCTCTCTAAACAATTAAGAAAAAAAGTTATAAAAAGAAAAAAAAGAGGCAGACTATCTTTAAAAAAATAATAACGAGGCGACTAGTTTTGCAAAATGTTTTGTATTACTTTTGGAGAAGAGAAGCTCAGAATACACTACAGTAGGTCCTTGAATAGCATCCTTTTGTTCAAACAATGAGACATGTAGGAACTTAACTCCATTTGTATCAATTAGCCTCTGGTAAAATTGGTTGTCATATCACTTAAAGTCACAGAATTTTTTTTTTTTTAATTAATTGATTTATTTTTGTTATAGGTGTTTCTCCTTTTTCCCCCATTGACACCCTCCTCCTAATCCCGTCCCCCATCCCCCCTCACAGTGGCCACACCAGTCTGCACTCCCACCAACAATGTACTGGAGTCCCCTTTTCTCCACACCCTCGCCAGCACTTGTTGTTTGATGGTTTGTTGATGGCAGCCATTCTAGCAGGTGTGATAATGTCACAGATTGTATCGACAACATTAAGTGAGGACATACTGAATTTACTAAGAATTTTTCTTAAGTGTAGGAATTTCAAAATGTCGTTAAAAATAAAATAATATTCAACTTTTACCAGTCTACTCCAACTCATTAAAGTACTTGTTAACATATGTAAAAAGAAAAAAGAAATGACTTTAGGTACATAGGATTTTGAACATAAAAATGAGAGCACATTTGTTCTGCTATGGTGAGCTAATCCTTCATTGCCTGTGGGTTCTGTGGGTTCTCACACTGGAAAGTGAGAAAAGAGCTGGGCTTTTGAATGCTTATTATTTTAATCTACCTACTAGTACCAACCATTTATTTACTACTACCTTTAACTGGGTATGCTTTTTTTTTTTTCTTTTTTGGTGCGTGCTCCTAGCGGGAACCGAACCCAGGACTCTATGGTCCACAGGCCAACACTCCAGCTGCTGAGCCAAACCGGCCAGGGAAGCTGTATATGCTTTTTAAACTATCCTCATTTTAGTAGGATATATATGTTTTAAGAGACAAGAGACTTCTCACTGAGTATGAATGTGGTTGTTAATTTTTGTTTTCATTAATTTTTAGGGAAATAGGGGATCAGTGGCATTTGGCAATTCAAGAAGCAATTTTAGAAAAATGCAGTGATAATGATGGCATTGTTCATATTGCAGTAGACAAAAATTCCCGTGAGGTAAAGTAACTTTTACTATTGAATTCTGCGTTTTGAATTTGTGGCTATTAAACTAAGACTATTTTTTCTTTCCTTTTTAACATCACAGGGTTGTGTATATGTTAAATGTCTGTCTCCAGAATATGCTGGAAAAGCTTTTAAGGCATTGCATGGCTCTTGGTTTGATGGTAAGAAATTTGAGTATTATAAACATTTTGAAGAGATAAATGATGGCTTAGTATTTAAACTATACCAGATTTTTAATTAAAGAATTTTAAGTTAGCATTTTAGAGTAATAAGTTTAAATTATTTTGTGTGTTTTTACCACATCATTTCTATAAATGATTAAGCACGTTTTTACAGATCTAAAATATTATTTTTATCTTACAACAGGGAAATTGGTTACAGTAAAATATTTACGACTAGATAGATATCACCATCGCTTTCCCCATGCTCTTACTTGCAACACTCCCTTGAAGCCATCAAATAAACATATGAACTCTATGTCTCATCTTCGTCTGCGGACTGGCCTAGCCAATTCTCAAGGAGGTTCCTGAAAAGACTTTCTTCCACTCCTAGGACTGTTATTTACAATAGGAAAATTCCTGTTTGGCTTCCTGTCTTCCTTTTAAAATGCTTTTTGTATGTAATATTTTTATTGAATACAGCTCTGTTTGAACGTTCCAGAAATCTTAAGGTTCCAAAGGGACTTAGCAGTGAAGCAGCAATGCTGAGTAGATAAAAATTGTTTCATTCAGTTTTTTGGAGCTCATTTAAGCCAATGCATTTAAAGTTTTGCATGAGGAACATTGCTTTATTACATATTTTCGGATGTGGTGGTGGTATTTTTGCACCAAGAAGTGTTTTGATAACCACACAAAAGCATGGTGAAGAGGCTTCTTGTATTTCCATAATATCCTGTGAACTAATGTTGTGAATTCTTGTATACAGTAACCTGCATAGTTCCTTACAGGCTAATGTGGTAAAACTGTTAATTTCTTAATTTAACTTTAGGTTTCTATTGCTTATAAGAGATTCATTTACTACAGCTGGAATATGGGAAAACTAATTTGGGTCTAGTGGTTACATATAAATATAAGTGGATGTATATGTACTTAAACTGGCTTTTGTATATATGTATAAATGCTGGTGGTGGCGAAAGTAGTCTCGTTTTGTGAGGATGTCTGCATTAAAGCAGTAAAATAAGCTTCCTATTTTATTCATAAAGTGTATATATATGTGTGTATGTGTATATATGTGTGTATGTGTATATATATATATATGTATGTGTGTATTGTATATATACACACACATATATGCATATGGCTGTACTATCACATAGATCAAACAGCCAAACACCTTGGAAGTATTAGATACAAGTTTCAAATATCTTTTATAGGTTTTATATAAAAATGTCTTGAGTATGATTTTGTGTGAAAGTTTCGATACCAGTTGTAATGGATTCAAATTTATGTGAGCAATAAATAAGCAATTGGCAGATGTTGGAAAAGTATTTTGTGAAAAGCTGTATTTATTATAAATACTAGGGCTATGATATAGTACCATTGGGATTAAGTCATTTTCCCAATCTATTTATAATTTAATGTTAGCTCCCCTGTTTTATGTCAAGTTTAAAACAGGGAACATTGGTTCAGCAAAATGTGTATCTGAAAAATTATATTTACAGTTTTGGGTCATGAAAAGTTTGCAATATAGTAAATGCACGAGTGACCGTTGCTTTGTGCCTCGATATTTACTTTGTTTCAATAAAATTACTTTATTACTATTTTTTATTTCAGATTAAAATAGTTGTGGAGCAAATTTTACTTGTAACAACTGACTTTTTCTTTTTTTTAAATAACCTGTTGATATATCATTGTCAGTCCAAATGAATATGTGAAACAGCTAAAATTGTACCAATTTTTATTTTGTTTAAAGCTCAGTTTCCTTTGGTTTTATTGTATATGTGTTGGGTTTGCAGCATGAACTTGCACAGATAATGCACGTTTTCTGGTTAAATAAACATGATGCACACTGTTCTGTAACAGGAAACCCTATTGTGCCTTACCTATGTGCTTTTGTGGGCACCATGTTTATGAAGAATAAAAAATGATTGTTATCTGAAGAGAATAAATTTTAAATTCTCAGTTTATGTCTCAGATGCTAAAGTGTGAAAATATAAATATATATAATATATAAAATAGCCGTTTTATGTGCATCATAGTGATTTATCTGAGCTTAGTGACCCCATCTTGTGACCTGTTGCAAGAGTGAATGTAAAATATAGTTGTGGCATTTTAAAAGGTCGCCTTTTGATGCAGATGCATCTTTATCTTGCTTCTAAAATATATTTCATGTAAACATTGTACATTTATTATTGTAATATATACTATTCAGCTTATTTTACCTGAAACTGTTAAGCCGACCAAGATCCCTCCCTGCAAGACAGATGGGAATGTGTATAATAACTAGATATTTGAGAAGTTCTGAAGTTTGATGTAATCTGTTACTTGTCCTGTTACAAAAAGGAAAAAATTAAAAATTTATTAGGTTTTTTTAATGCGTGTTGGCTTTTAAAAAACTTTTTAAGTGCCCTGTGTCTTTATTTTTTTTACCGGTGAAAATAGGTGCTTTTATTTTAAATCTTTTTGGGGGATCTGTTAATATATGTGTTCATAAAGATCAATAGACCCTAAAGTTAATTTTAACCATCCATTCCTTCGCATTTTCTTTTTCTTTATGAAAAATGTCTTTTTCTAACTCTCAAGTGTTTGGATCAAAGTGGGCCAAGAATATAAATCAGCTGCATCACTAAAGCACAGTTTAGTTTAGCTAGACTTTTTTTAAAGCAAGACTTTCTCCAAAAAAGAAGCCATTCTTTTACACATTCTGGTTCAAACTGCTCATCTCATCATAAACAAATAGTTTTTGGGCTTTGAGTAGCAATGGTTTAGATTTTTTTTTTTTTTAATGTTTTTTTTTTTATTTTTTATCCTCACCCGAGGACATTTTTCCATTTTTTGTTCAGGTGGAGTGGGAGGGAGAGAGAGGAACAGAGAGAGAGAGAGAGAAACATCGACGTGAAAGGAACACATCGAGTGGTTGCCACCCGCACAACCGACCAGGGCCGGGGACAAACTGCAACTGAGGTACGCGCCCTTAGCGGGAACCGAACCCGGGTCTCTCAGGACCGCAGGCCGACGCTCTAACTGCTGAGCCAAACCGGCCAGGGCTGGTTTAGATTTTTTGATTGTTTAATCAATCAAGATTGCTAGATGTAGCACGGTTATATGCTAGGGATGCAAAGATGAAAAGACACACCCACTTCTCAAGATGGTTCCAGTCTAGAGGAAGAACATTGGGCAGATAACTTAAAAGATAGTGTGGAAAATATTGTGAGAGAAAAGAGCAGAAATTCTGGGAGAACAAAGAGGCACCTATGATCTTAATGGAGAAGACATAGCTAAGGATGAGGTCATAGCTGAGCCATATTTTAATTAGTTTAACATTAAACTCTTCTTAATTTGTATGATACAATGTTAAGTCTTCTTTTCCTTGAACTCTCAGGGGAGCTTCTAGTCTTGTGATGAGCTCATAAAAATTAATGTATGGAACCCGAGTTATTACACAATCCATTTTCATACTCATTGGTCTATAGATTCCTGAATATCTTGTGAATACTGAAGCCCGATATTGGACTTTTGTTGTATTTTCTTTATATGGTATTCACTGCTTGGATGGCAGGTTGTGATTTCCAGGCGAACAACATTTGATGTATCCTGTGGCAAGAACACTTCCTTTAATAAGACTGACCTTGTAGTCTCACTGCCTGCTCCTAGTGACATCACTTTACTGTAGGCCACCTACATGGCTTCTTCGCCCTTTTTCCCTAGACTTATCTCAGCAAGTCACTTCTTCCAGATGACTCAACAGAGGATGCTAAGTCAAGCAGAATTTTGGCAGCCACTCTTTTGGAAAGGATGCTCAAGAACAGGTACTTACGAACTGAAAATAGCTAGAAACCAGAGGTTGTGGTTCAAAGAAACAGTGACCAGGATGCTTGTTTTTTTTTTGTATGTTTGTTTTGGTCCAGTATGCACAATTACTACCTTTAAGCCCCATTGGAGATAGTTTATGACTAGAAGTGCAAACTGATGGTAAGATTTCTACGCCTAAGAACCTCTACTAGGGGACAGACTCATTGTGTTGATTCTTAGATTTTAAAACCAGTAGGATCTGTGTACTTAGATTTACTTTTTCTTTCATAAGTGGACATTGGGCACCTGCACATGCCCCTGGAATTGCAAAGGCGGCTATCTAGGCATAGAGAACACATGAAAAAAGATAGATTGATGAGAAGCAACCAGTGCATTTATAAACTACAAGCAGTTTTTATGATTGAATTACTGAGTACAAGACAATGAAATAGGGAAGGTAGGCAATGATCAGATCAACTTGTACAGTTGGTCACCTTGTTTACAGCCCATCTCAATTCAAATGCTACATTTTCATTGAAAATACTTGATCTGTATTTAGATTTCATAAAACCTATAGATGGGAAAAAGATTCTCATCCCCTCCAAGTTCTTCTAAACATACTTAAAGGTTTTTCTATAACTGAATCAGTTACCAGTTTTTAAATTTACATTAATTCAAATGAAATTAAATTAAAACTTCAGTAGTTCATGAGTAGTACTGGCCACATTTTTTTTTTTAATCCTCACCCAAGGACAGAGTGGGAGAGAGAGAGAGGAAGAGAGAGAGAGAAACATCAATGTAAAAGGGACACATCGAGTGGCTGCGACCTGCACAACCAACCAGGGCCGGGGACAAACTGCAACCGAGGTACGTGCCCTTAGTGGGAACTGAACCCGGGTCTCTCCAGACCGCAGGCCAACGCTCTAACCGCTGAGCCAAACCGGCCAGGACAGTACTAGCCACATTTTTAAATGCCCAAGAGCCACATGTAGCCAGTGGCTACCATGTTGACAGCGAAGGTCTAGGCCAATCTGTACCTTTCTAGCTAAATTCAAGTCCTCTCAAAGCCACAGAGCTCCAGCTAAACTGCACGGCTTGCCTTTTCCATGCGTATCTAACTTTTGCTTGATTCTACCTTTACTGGCATTGTTCGTATTGGGGTTTGTTTATTTATTCGCCTGAAACATCTTGCATTTTCTGTTTCTATGTACCCAAATCTATACATATGCCTCCTCCAGGAAGAGTTGTGATTGCCCCTGGCTGAAAGTAATTCCTACTATGTGCATTCCTGAAATATTTGATTTTCACTTCTCTTATTTTAGCAATTTCTTGCTGTATTATATAGTGTTCCCAATCTTCTCTAGTTTTGCTTCTGTTATCACTTCTCTAGAAATTACCAAAAAACTTACTTTGCAAATTCAAGAGTCATTTCTATGTCCACATCTTTTTTGAACTCTCAGTATCACCTGCTACAGCTTATCATTACTTTTTTACTTAAAATTTTTTTATTATGAAGTAATTCATACATATAAAAAAAAATATATATATATATATATATATATATCCCTAGCCAGTTTGGATCAGCAGTTAGAGCATTGGCTCATGGACCAAAGGGTCATGGGTTTGATTCTCTTCAAGGACACATACCTCAGTTGCAAGTTCTATCCCTGGCCCTGGTCGGGGTCATGTGTGATTCAACCAATTGATGTGTCTCTCACATCAATGTTTCTCTCCCTCTACCTCCCTTCTTCCCTCCCTCCCACTGTCTCTAAAAATTAGTGGAAATATATCCTTGGGTGAGGATTAACAACAAGAAGAATATAAAGCATATACTTTACTTACATTTTGAAGTATACCATCATTTAAGATGTACATTAACTTTGCAGCACCTCTGTGTTTTCGCCTGATGCTTCTCTCTCCTTCCCAACTCCCAGATGAGCACCATCCTGAAATATGTTAATAATTCTTTCTTTTTCATTAGTTTTATCACATAGTATTTCTAAATACTACATCATTTAATTGTTCCTGATTTTGACTTTCAATGAACAGAATCAAATTGTATACTTCAGTGACTTTTTTTGCTGTTTTTAAGATTCATCTGTATGAATGCATTTATTGTTATGGCTATATAATATTCTATTATAAAACATACCACAATTCAGCCCTGGCCAGTTTGGCTCAGCGGTTAGAGCGTCGGCCTGCAGTCTAGAGAGACCCGGGTTCGGTTCCCGCTAGGGGCATGTACTTCGGTTGCAGTTTGTCCCCGGCCCTGGTTGATCGTGCAGGTGGCAGCCACTCGATGTGTCCCTTTCACATCGATGTTTCTCTCTCTCTCTCTCTCTCTCTCTCTCTCTCTCTCTCTCTCTCTCTCTCTCTCTCTCTTCCTCTCTCTCCCTCCCACTCTATCTGTACAAAAAATGGAAAAATGTCCTCGGGTGAGGATTAAAAAAATAAATAAATAAAACATACCACAATTCATGCAACTATCTTTGGACATTTAGATTGTTTTCAGTTTTTTACTATTATTAATAAG